ACCCACATTTGACATCAATGGAGGTATATTCAGATCTCTTCCTCCCCACTTTGTTCTGAGCTGTACAGTAATACTCTCCAGAGTCAGAGGGCTGGATGGAGCTGAAGGAGAGCTGCTGTTCATTACTGAGAGGCTTTTGTCCATTCTTCTTGTACCAGGAGTATTGAGCTGCTGGATTAGCATCACTGCTACAGGTCAGAGTCACTGATCCGCCCTCCCTGAATTCATTAGAAGGGCTCACCATCACTGACACAAACTTTGGAGCATCTGTGAGAAAAAACAATTGTGCAAATGATCAGTAATTTGTTAAAATGATGAGGAATTTATAAAGTGTAACAGCTTGAAGTCTTGTACAGTAGTTGACCCTATTTTTTTCTTCTAAACAAAGGTATAAGGCTGTAGAATTACTATAGAAATGAGACAATGTTTTATGAAAGTTGATGCAGTATATAAAAAATTAAATAAAAATAAATCTTCGGAAGACAGATTAAATCTCACTGTCACAGAGAGAAGTTATTGATGGATCTGAGAGAAATATATGAAATTATTTCCACTCACAGTTCACATTAATAGAAATATATTCAGATGTCGTCCCCACTGTATTAGCAGCTATACAGTAATACTGTCCAGAGTCAGAGCGCTCGATGGATCTGAAGACAAGCTGTGGTTCTTTACTGAGAGGTGTCCTTCCATTTGTCTTGTACCAGACAAACGTAGCTGCTGGGTTAGCTTCACTGCTACAGGTCAGAGTCACTGAAGTGCCCTCTGTGATTTCACCAGAGGGACGCACTGACACAGAGGGAGGCTTTGGGGCATCTGCAGAAGAAAGCAAAGAAAAATGACAGCATTGTATCATTTTTTTAAAGACCCCCTCCATATATCACTACCTTATGGTGGTAGAGGGGTTTATGTGTCCCAGGGAACCCAGGGGCTATGTTGTCCAGGGGCTTCTGCCCCCTTGTAGGGTCTCCCATGGCAAAATGGTCCTGGGTGAAGGACTAGACAAAGAGCGATTTAGAAGAAGCTCACCCTGCCTAGTATAGGGTTACCGGGGCTCCGTCCTGGAGCCAGGCCTGGGGAAGCTGCCCAAAGGCGAGTGTATGGTGGCCGGGCCTTAGTCCACAGGGCACAGCCGGGCACAGCCCAAAAGAGAGACATGGGCCAATCCTCCTGCAGGCCCACCACCTGCAGGAGACGCCGTAGGGGTCGGGTGCATTTTGTGCCAGGAGCGGCCAGGAGCAGAGGTCCTGGCAGACCGATCCACTGGGAACGCCTGACAGAGGCCCCAGTCCACGAGATCTTCATCACACAGAGCTCTACTTGCATTGTGTATAGTGCGGGTGAAGCGCTGCTGACTTGAACTGAGAAAATTGTTGGGTGGTGGAAGGTATACTTCGAGGACCTCCTTAATCCCACTGGCACGTCTTTTGTTGAGGAAGCATAGTCTGGGAATGAGGGGGATGACTCGCCAATCTCTATGGGTGAGGTAACTGAGGCAGTTAAACAACGCCTTGGTGGCAGAGCCCCTGCGGTAAATGAGGTCTACCCTGAGTTCCTAAAGGCTCTGGATGCTGTAGGGCTGTCCAGGTTGACACATCTCTACAATGTTGCATGGAGGTTGGATTGACAGACTGGGGTGGTGGTTCCCATCTTCAAGAAAGGGGACCGGAGGGTGTGATGGTTGAATTATTGATCAGATTAAAGACAAAAGCTTAGCCACATTATGATTTGATGAAAAAATGAAACAAATTACCACAGTATCTAAAAAAGGGGTCTATGGACAATGTGAATCAAAATGAATGTAATAATTTGCAAATCTCAAACATTGACACTCATCAGCTGAAGGTTTCCTAAACGCCCTGTTTTACTCACATTTCACATCAACAGAAATGTTTGTAGGTGTTGATGTTCCCAGCCTGTTCTCAGCTGTACAGTAATACTCTCCAGAGTCAGCAGGCTGGATGGACTTGAAGGAGAGCTGTGAATCTGT